TGTAGCACACTGAGAGAAAATGAAGAGCCAAACACGGTACTATACTGCTTTATCTTCAAATGTGATTCACATAGTACTATACCTCAGCAGTGGCAAGATTGACATTACTCCTAACTACTGTCAAACACACGCTAGTGTCTTTCTTCAAGCTAACTCCACGAGCATTCAGACGCAAAATCAACTCAGATGGATTGAATACTCTGTTCATATCGCCAAGAGTCATCTCCAGCCCCCATCAAGTCCTGTTTGGCAAGACCCAAATGACGGACATTTGGAACATGGGTTGGTGGCTGGTAATTGGTGCAATTTGAATTCAATAAAAAGCTAACTCAATGGTGACCATATAAGCATTGGTGATTATCTGACGTCAGTGATGTCAGTTGTGGGTAAGTTGTTGGAGGCAATTCTGGGAGATAGGATTTACACGCTTTTGAAAAGGCTAGGACTGATTAGAGATAGTCAGTGTGGCTTTGCACGTGGGAAATCGTGTCTCATGATTGAGTTTTTAGAAGAAATGACCAAGAAGATAGATGAAGGCAGAGTGGTGTTGTCTACATGGACTTTAGCAAGGTCTTCGATAAGGTTAGATTACGTGGGATCCAGGGAGAGTTAGCAAATTGGATACAACATTGGCTTGATGGTAGGAGACAAAAGGTGGTGGTAGAGATGGAATTTAGATAGATGTGAGGTGTTGCATTTTGGTAAGACAAACCAGGACAGGACTTACACAGTTTATGGTAGATCCCAGGGAGCGTTGAGGCCGAGGAATGCAGGTACATAGTTCCTTGAAAGTGGCATCATAGGTAGACAGGGTGGTGAAGAAGGTGTTTGGCACGCTTGCCTTCATTGGTCAGAGCACTGAGTACAGGAGTTGGGATATCATGTTACAGCTGTACAAGGCATTGGTGAGGCCACATTTGGAGTACTGCATTCAATGCTGGTTGTCCTGCTATAGAAAGGATGTTATTAATCTGGGAAAGGGTGCAAATGAAATTTACAAAGATGTTACCGAGTCTGGAGAGATTAACTTATAAGAGAGGCTGCAATATGCTGGGGCGTTTTTCTCTGGAGCATAGGAGGCTGAGAGGTGACCTTATAGAGGTTTATAAAATCATGATGGGCTTGCATAAAGTGAATAGCCAAGGCTTTTCCTCAGGCTAGGGGAGTTCAAAACTAGAGGGCATAGGTTTAAGGTGAGAGGGAAAGATTTAAAAGGGACCTAAAGGGACACATTTTTCACACAGAGGGTGGTGCATGTATAGAATGAGCTGCCAGAGAAGGTGGTAGAGGTGGGTACAATTACAATATTCAAAAGACATTTGGACAGGCACATGGATAGGAAAAGTTTAAAGAGATATGGGCCAAATGCAGGCAAATGGAACCAGTTCAGTTTAGAAAGTCTTGTCAGCATGGACAAGTTGGGCCAAAGGGTCTGTTTCTGTGCTGTATGACTCTATGACTGTATCACAACAAACTATTTGGTTCCCTAATGTCCTTCAGGGAAGGAAATTGCTATCCTTGCCTGTTCTTGCCTACATATGACTCCAGACCCACAGCAATGTGGTTGACCCTCAAATGGCCCTGGGCAATTATGGATCAGCAAAAATGCTGGCCTAGCCAAGCAACACTCACCTTCTACGAACAAATACAATAAGAAACTGCTACAAAGACAGTCTGAAGCTCTCCTTGAGGTGCAGCTGCCTTGATGTTAATGAGTATAAGGAGCTTGCTACCAATCATTTAAAATGCTGGCAACCTGTCCTTCAAGCTGGGAGCACCAGACCCTGCAAGACCTCCTCCAAGCCACTCATCATCATGACTCGTAACTTTATCACTATCCTTTTGGTGTCGTTGGGTCAAAATCCTGGCATTCCTTCCCTAAGGGCATTTTGGATCTACCTACAGCACATAAGAGCCATACAGCACGGAAATAAACATTTTGGTTCAACCAGTCCATGCTGAGCATAATCCCAAACTAAACTAATCCCACCTACCTGCTCCTGGCCCATATCCCTCCAAACCTTTCCTATTCATGTACTTATCCAAAAGTCTTTTAAATGTTGTGACTGTACATATACCCACCACTTCTTCAGGAAGTTCATTACACCTGTGAAACACCCTCTGTGTAAAAAAGTTGCCCCTCATGTCTTTTTTAAATCTCTCTATTCTTACCTTAAAAATTGTGTCCTCTAATCTTGAAATCCCCCATCCTAGGGAAAAGACACCTACCATTAACCCTTTCTATACCCCTCATGATTTTATGAACTTCTATAAAGTCACCTCTCAATGTCCTATGCTCCACATGAGCTACAACAATTCAGGAAGGCAGTTTACCACCAACTTCTCAAGGGTATGCTAGGGAAGACCAATAAATGCTGACCCAGCCAGTGATGCTCACATGCTACAAAAGAATCAAGGAAAAAGCTGTATCAACCTTTGAGTCCAAATACCGTAACAATGAATGAGAATTCAAATTAGGTTTTATTGTAACGTGTACTCAAGCACAGGGATACAGGAGTACTGTGAAACATTTACAATGTCACCATTCACCATCTTGGGTACAAAATCTTAGATAAAAGTAGAAAAATAGAGAAATAAGTCAAACGTTCAATAATACAGTTCTTGTCAGTATAGAGTAGGAAGTAAGAAATAAAGTTAAAAGTTCCAAACTGAATCAGTGTGATGGCAGAGAAGGAATTTACTCGGTGTCCCATTACCTCGTGCTCAAAGATCTGTAAGTCATGAATTGTTCAATCATATGAAGGCTCCCGACAGAAATCTGTGACCTGAGTAGATGTCACCCTCTAATTAAGGGGCAGTTGATGATGAATTACTGCTAATTAACTACTCCAGGGCCAGAGTGGAAAGCCACAGCTCAACTGGTAGCAATTTCAAATTGTGGGTTCAAGTACCACTCCAGAAACTAGCGTGCAAAAATCAGGTTTGTGCTGCAGTGTTGAGGGAATGCTGTGCTGTCTTGCAGATGAGGTGTTAAATTAAGACCCATTGACCCTCCAAATTGGAATTAAACAATCTGATAGCACAATGTTGTGGAACTGCAGGGGAGTTCTCCCTAATGTACTGGTTGAATTTATCCTCCAGTCAGTACTTGCTTAAGATATTTGTTCATCAACACATTGTGGAAGTTTGCTGTGTGCAAATTGACTTTCTTTTTTATTCATTCATGGGATAAGGGCATCGCTGGCTAGGTAGCATTTATTGCCCACCACTAATTGCCCAGAGGGCAGTTAAGAGTCAACCACAATGCTGTGGGTCTGGAGTCACATCTAGGCCAGACCAGGTAAGAATAGCAGTTTCCTTCCCTGAAGGACATTAGTGAACCATTCCTTACATTTACAACTGAGACTGTACTTCAAAATGTACTTCAATGGTTGTGAAACACTTTGGGAGGTTGTGAGCTCTTGAAAGGTGCTATGCAAATGCAACCTTTTAAAAAAAAAATCTCTGGATGTGGTTTATCTCCGGTAACCAACAAAAACAAAAAAAATCTAAAACAGACTACATGTCCTTCATGTTCCCTATGAATTGCCAAGTGGAAACTGATTTGTAATGACACTGGTCCACTGCTAAGGTCGACCCATCTGCCTTGCGGGGACACCAGTTCAGTTCGCACCCAGAGTGTATCTGTGTTTACTCTGTGAAGTCTCAATGACCCCCGGAAAGCTAAACTTTACAATAGGGCTTCCCAAAGTGGAGGGTCAGGACCCCAAATAGGGTCGGGAGCTGAAACTTAGGGGTCAAGAGGTCAGTGACAGCGTGTTGTTGGGTGGCTCTGCAACCCCCTGCCTTGTGCGTTCACAGAGGACTCGCACCAATTTTCGAGCCTCAAAATATGGTCACAGTGGTGGCAGGGGGTGGGGGCATCAGGAGCTTTAAGGTGTGCTGTTCAATGATAGTTATGGATCTAAGTGCATGGCTATAAGGAAGTCACACATTAATGGAGAAAGTGTAGCAAGTTGATAGAACTTCCCCAATGCAGTAAGGACATGAGAGATATTAGGAACTGCAGATGCTGGAGAATCCGAGACAAGAAGGTGCAGGGCTGGATGAACACAGCAGGCCGAGCAGCATCATAGGAGCAGGAAGGCTGACGTTTTGGGCCTAGACCCTTCATCAGAAATGGGGGAGGGGAAGGGGGTTCTGAAATAAATAGGGAGAGAGGGGGAGGCGGATAGAAGATGGATAGAGGAGAAGATAGGTGGAGAGGAAACAGACAGGTCGAAGAGGTAGGGATGGAGCCAGTAAAGGTGAGTGTAGGTGGGGCACTTCCCAGTCGCGAACCATTTCAACTCCCCCTCCCATTCCTGATCTGGCCCAGATGTGACTCCAGACCCACAGCATTGTGGTTGACTCTTAACTGCCCTCTGGGCAATTAGCAATGGGCAATAAATGCTGCCTAACCAGCGATGCCCTTATCCCATGAATGAATAAAAAAGAAACTCAATTTGCACACAGCAAGCTCCCGCAATGTGTTGATGAACAAGTATCTTAAGCAAGTACTGACTGGAGGATAAATTCAACCAGTACATTAGGGACATCAGTAAGGACATGAAGCAGCTTGGGGACTAAAAGCAAAAATTAATTATATTGACATTTACTAAATGATAACAATCAAAAACATTAGTAAAACAGGCCAGTGGGGCATACTGATAGAAGTCATAGAGTCATAAAGCATGGAAACAGACCCTTCAGTCCAACTTGTCCATGCTCGCCAGGTTTCCCAAACTGAACCAGCCCCATTTGGTCCATATCCCTCTAAGCCTTTCCTATTCGTGTACCTGTCCAAGTGTCTTTTGTACTTTTTGTAAATTTCAAAATAAACCTCCAGTGCATTCATATCCAAGAATTTCCTTTTTGATGTTACTGTGTTTTTTTTCCCTTCAGATCCTCAAACTTCTTCCAACGACAGAAATGAAAGCTCTCTCTGAACCGGGTAGAGACTTTTCAGTTCCACTGCAATTCGGGAATGTTAACTTCAAGCCTGGATTGGGGAGGGGCGGCCAACTCGGTTGGGGCTGATCTGTTTCGTTGCCCGGGGAAAGAAAATTGCAGGGGAATCTCTTTTTTTGTGGAAGTCCGCTGGCGGTCGAGATTTTCAGGGAATGCCGGAGAGAGAGGCAAAACAAAATCTACAAGCAACCGGTTGATCCAGCAGGGAAGAGAGAGAGAGAGAGAGGAACAGTGACAAGAAGAAAAAAAAAGGCGGTGCAAAGTGAGTTGATGCATTTTAAGTGTCACGGCAGAAACGTTAGGAATATTTGAAGGGAAGAGTTGATTTTTCTCTCTCTCTCTCTCTGTCTGTCTTTCACCATCACTGTGACCCAACATGTCCAGTCCGGGGCTGTGCGTAGACAGGGAACACTAACACCAGGAAATCTAGAGAGAGAGAGAGTGTGTGTGTGTCTTTATGCAGAGAGGCAGCACATTTGCAAAGTTTTCCAGGCGAGTAGAGAGGATTGGTGCACCGTACGAGATGCAAGGGGCCAGCCAGAGGCGTCTTCTGCTGTTGCTCAGCTGGTCAGTTTCCTCGTTAATTTCCTTGCGGTTCCAGCCGGGGTCAGCGCAGCGGTCAGCGGCCACAGAGGACAACTGGAGGCAGATGATTCGCTGGGAGAACAACGGCCGAGTCTACAGCCTGTTGCACAGCGGCTCTGAGTACCTCCCTGCCGGTCAGCACCCAGCCCGGAGCAGCCCCAGGGTATGGCTGGGAGGTGCCAGCGGCCGGGATCCCACCAGGAGGCAGCTCCAACGCCCCGCAGCCAATCACGGGCGCCGCCAGGCTCCAGCACAGACGGGCAGAGTGGCCTCGGAGACGGTGAGGGGTCAGACCAGGCACCCTTTCGGTTTCGGGCAGGTGCCCGACAACTGGAGGCAAGGCACTTTCGGGGACCCCAGCAACACCCACCGGTATGTGCCCCCCTCCACCAGGCAGGAAACCAGGTCCAGGCAACACCAGCCGGTGAGCTCCTTTGTGGATAGCCCTTATGCACAGCCTCCTTACCAACGTTACCCATTGGCCCACCAACCATCCTATCCCAGCTCCTACGACTCTGGCTATGAGCATGGGTCACCAAGAGTCTTTGATGCCATGGATGAAAGTGTCCCCTATCGGAGAGTGCCCAGCGGCTTACCCCCCGAAGGTAGGGGGTACGCCTTAATGCCCAGGACAAGATATGATGAGTACAGAGAAAATGTCTACCCTTACAGGTCCCAGGGTCAATTCCCCAGCCAGGAGAGGTACCACCTTCCCCAGCAACCCCCTGCCTTCGACGGGCTCGATCGGAGATACATGCACAGCCTGTACGACGAGAGCAGGGGACAGAGTCTCCCGGCAGCAGAGTCTCCGTCCTCCCTTTCACCATCCGAGGGAAACCCCAGTCTTCAATTGCCAGGCCCGTCCTCAGAGGTTGGCCACTTGGGCCCGAGAGTCATCACCGACGGAGCCGGCGCTGGAAGTTACCCGTTCAGCCACAATGTGCCGGTGGACCCATACGCCTCATCCCGTTACAGTGAGCCGAATGCCCCCTCCACCGGTTTGGACCAGTACACACTGCGGCGAGTGGATCCCAATGGAGGGGCAGAGCAGCTGAGACGCCATGTTCCTCTACCACGTATGGCCCTAGGGAGTGTGTATAGACCAGACCAAAGCAGCAGAGGTAATAGTGTTTAAAATGTGCAATGAGTTGTCAAGTGGTGCTCGGTTTTGCTGTTGAAACAGAATCCAACACAGAATTACTATTTTCTCTAAGCATGGTTGAAATTCTTCAAATGCTTGCCTGTCACAACTGCATTATTGCCTTGTTCAAACTCTCTCCACCAGTGCACACATTAATGAGACAGTTTATAAAACACTAATGTGCATTGCATGCTTCATGAATGAATGTGCCCCAGTAGGTAAGCATTAAAGCATGTTATTCAGGTCTTCAGGCTTGTTGTATTCAAATCAGTATTAGAAATTATTTCTCATCAGCACGGCTCATGTTTGACCAGTGATGTACATGTTGAACGTTGAATGTGGTCCCCACAGCCATTGGCTTTCTGTTCCCACTCTTGATTTGGGAAAAGACTTGAAATTATTTGCAAATTTGATAGCCTCAGGACAAATGCTTTACAGCTAATGCAACTAATATAGGAAACAAGGCAAGTAATCCGCACACAGCAAGCTTCCAACAACCAGCGATTAATGATGAAATGTTCTGTTTTTGGTGATATTGGTATTTGGGAACCATGTTCAACAGGACTCAGGAGAACTTAACTGAGGGTGGCACAGTGGCTAAGTGGTTAGCACTGCTGCCTCACCGTGCCAGGGACCTTGGTTCGATTCCAGCCTCGGGTGACTGTCTGTGTGGAGTTTATACATTCTCCCCATGTCTGCGTGGGTTTCCTCCTGGTGCTCCAGTTTCCTCCCACAGTCCAAAGATGTGCAGGTTAGGTGAGTTGACCATGTTAATCGCCCATAGTGGCCAGGGATGTGCAAGCTAGGTGGGTTACCCATGGGAAATGCAGGGTTACAGGGATAGGGTAGTGGGGTTGGGTCTGGGTGAGATGCTCTTTGGAGGGTTGGTGTGGACTCAATGGGCTGCATAGCCTGTTTCCACGCTGTAGGGATTCTGTGAAAGCCTTCTTTGTACTTTCATGAGGTGTGGGTTCCTTTGGCAAGGTTGGCATTTGTTGCCTGTTCCTGAGTGGTTTGCTGGGCCACTTCAGAGGACAATCAAGAGTTGACCGCATTGTTGTTTGCCTGGAGCCACAAAGAGGCCAGACCAAGTCAGGAACACAGATTTCCTTCCCTGAGAAACATTAGTTAGCCAGATGAGTTTTTACAACAACTGATGATAGTTTCAGAGTCATCATGACTGGGATTAGCTTTCAATTCCAAATTTATGATTTGAATTTAATTTCCAACAGCTGCCGTGCTGGGAATTGAATCCACATTCCCAGAGTATTATTCAGGGCTAAATATAAAATTCTGCGGATGTTGGAAATCTGAAACAAACAGAGAGAGTGCTGGAGGAACTCAGCAGGTCTGGCAGCTGGAGTGCAGGTCTGGAGAGAGAAACAGAGTTAACAATTCAATTCTGGTATGACTCTTCAGAACTGGGGTTCTTCTGCAGAGGAGTCATATTGGACCTGAAACATTAACTTTGTTTCTCTCTCCACAGATGCTACCAGACCTGCTGAGTTTCTCCAGCAATCTCTGTGTATTGGTCTGGGCGATCCAGATTGTGAGTCGTCTATTCCCACAATTCCCACCATCTTCCCCATATTGTAATGACGTATTTTAAACCTAGCTGAGAAAGGCCATTCAAGATCTGTTTTAACATGAGTAACTCTCAGTAAAGCACTGGACTATCAGTGTGTTTGAGTCTCTGGAGTAAGACTTGAACACAATCTCTGAGCTCTTAAGACAAAGATGTTAGCCTTCAGTTCAGCTTCACTGTTGAAGTCAGAAAAAAAGAGTTTCCAAGTTATTATTAAAACTACTGCAAGGCTTTTTCCTCAGCCTTTCCACGCAGTTTAATTTCTGTGATACATTTGTTTTTACATATTTCTAATTACTCATTATATATCTGTTTCTTTATGAAGTCAGAATGATCTAATTATGCAAGCATTCCATCCAAGATAAAGTTGACGTTCTACAGAGTAACAATATATCAGGAGGTTCAAAGACCTGAATCTATTTGCTCAGTGTTAAGAATGTTTATACAATGCAATTCCCCAGGGGTGGGCGTTAGGACCATTGCTTTTATTATACATGAGTGACTTGGCTGGTGTGTATAAGGGAGTAAAAATCCCAAACTTGCAAATGATACACAATTTGGCAGTGTATGGTGAACACGAGAGTAGCTGAAAACGGGGATATAGACACAATTAATGTGCTACGTGTGAAGTGGTGTAATTTCAATGAAACAACATGGAGAGGCAGTATAATCTAAATAGTTAGAATTTGAGGAGGGGGTGATGCAAAAAATGAGGAATTGTGGAGAATGTGTTCACAGCTTTTTGTAACAGGACAGGCAAGTTGATAAGGATGAGGAGCAAATTACTGTAGATGCTGGAATCTGAACTGAAAGCAAAAAGTGCTGGAAATTACAGTGGGTCAGGCAGCCTCCATGGAGAGAAAGCAAGCTAATGTTATGAGTCTAGGTGACTCTTCATCCATCATATAAGATGCCTTGCTTTGTAATCAGAAATATTGAATAGATAGAAAGAAGCTGTTCCCATTGGTGGAAGGATAGAGAACTGAAGGTCACGGATTTAAGGTAATTGGCAAGATGAACAATGGTGATATGCAGAAAGACATTTTTACACAGTGAGTCGTTAGGATCTGGAATGTGCTGCCTCAGAGGTATATTGAGGCTGATTCAATTATGACATTCAGAAGGGAATTGGATCATTATCTGTTAAGGAAAATCTTGCAGGGCCATTTTATAAAGGCAGGGTAGTGGAACTAAATGAATTGCTCTTACAGAGAGCTGGCACAGACACAATGGGTTGAATGCCTTCTTCTATGCTGCATCTGTTTGAAAATTCTCTAAATTCAAAAACATAAAAGTCATGCCAAATCTTTACAATCTTTACCTGGCTCCAATCTACAGTCTTAGAATTTACTTTCTGTGACTATCAGTCAGTGAGAGGTTAATTGTTTTTGGTGAGGGGTATTTATGTCTAACTCTTCACATCCAGCTTAAAAGAAACCAGCCTGATCTTTAAAAATTATCTTTTGATCCTTGGAGCTACGTCATTTGAAATCACACACTCCAAGTATGTGGTAGACATGGGCATATATTTCCTTCCTGTGCTAAGTTGTTGGTTACAATCAAGTGCCAACTTTTCCCATTGCAAATGTTTAAGCCTGGATCTTCAATCACTTTTTCCTATGTCAGCTTGCGTTGTTGCAGTTTGCTGATGAAATAATTAAATCACTTAGTGATTTTATAATGTAATGCCAAATTTTTTCCAGGGAGATCTTTTAAGTCCAAAGTTTTAAATAAAATGCCTCAAAAATGCATATGTTGCAAATATGATTTAATAGATCAATCAAATTTCTTCTGTGCCTTTGCATGCTTTTATTGGAGTCCAGACTTAAATGCAGGAGTCTCTGCTAAGCTCCTGTGCTAGAACTTGTTTGAGCAAGATTTTAACTTGTTCAGAACCCATCCACTTGCATTGAGATAAAACTAGTTCAACATAAGGTAGCACGGTGGCACAATGGTTAGCACCGCTGCCTCACAGCGCAGGGCACCTGATTTCAGCCTCAGGCGACTGTCTGTGTGAAGTTTTCACATTCTGCCCGTGTGTGTGTGGGTTTCCTCCGGGTGCTCTGATTTCCTCCCACAGTCCAAAGATATAAGAACATAAGAACATAAGAACTAGGAGCAGGAGTAGGCCATCCGGCTCCTCGAGCCTGCCCCGCCATTTAATAAGATCATGGCTGATCTTTTTGAGACTCAGCTCCACTTACCCGCCCACTCACCATAACCCTTAATTCCTTTACTGTTCAAAAGTTTATCTAGCCTTGCCTTAAAAATGTTGAGAAGTAGTTTCACCTGCTTCACTGGGCAGGGAATTCCACAGATTCACAACCCTTTGGGTGAAGAAGTTCCTCCTGACCTCAGTCCTACACCTGCTTCCCTTTATTTTGAGGTGATGCCCTCTGGTCCTAGTTTCACCTGCTAGCGGAAACAACCTCCCTGCCTCCACCTTATCTATTCCCTTCATAATCTTATATGTTTCTGTAAGATCTCCCCTCATTCTTCTGAATTCCAATGAGTACAATCCCAGTCTACTCAGTCTCTCCTCATAATCCAACCCTCTCAACTCTGGAATCAACCGAGTGAATCTCCTCTGCACCCCCTCCAGTGCTAGTATATGTCTTCTCAAGTAAGGAGACCAAATCTGCACACGGTACTCCAGGTGTAGCCTCGCCAGGACCCTATACAGCTGCAGCATAGTCTCCGTGTTTTTAAACTCCATCCCTCTAGCAATGGCAGACAAAATTCCATTTGCCTTTTTAATTACCTGCTGCACCTGCAATCCTACTTTTAGTGATTTATGCACAAGGATACCCAGCTTGGGTGTAGCTTGGGTGGATTGGCCATGCTAAATTGCCCATTGTGTCTAGGCAAGTGCAGGCTGGGTGGGTTAGCCATTGGAAATGCAGGGTTGAGATAGGAGGTGGGTCTGGGTGGGATACTCTTTGGAGGGTTGGTGTGGACTCGGGCTGAATGGCCTGCCTCCACGCTGTGGGGATTCTATGATTCCTTATCACACTCTTGTCACAGACTCGCAGAATTGTTACAGTGCAAATGGAGGCCATCAGCCTGTTGTGCCTACTGGTTCTTCGATTGAGCAATCCATCCAACAGATGTTGTAAGTCAAAGCATGTGTAGTGAGGAGGAGTTTGTATTCTAGTCATCTGGATTGGGACTTGAAGCTGAAGTCTGTTGAACTCTAAGGTAAAGATGCTCGTCTTCAGTCCAGCTGCAGTGGATCACTTAGAAAAAAATTTCTCAGAGATGATTGCAAATCTCATGGGGATTTCTCCTGACAAATTACACAGTTTCATTTTCTGTGATGGAACTGCTTTTGTACATCTCCATTAGTTCACTAAATATCAATTTCTTTATGAAGACAGAATGATCTAAAACTGCAA